ATAGTAGCCCAATATTCTACACCGGACGAGCCTCAGCAGAATGGAGTAGCTCAAAGACGCAACCGTACCTTAATGGATATGGTGAGAAGCATGATAAGTTACTCTTCTTTACCAATAAGTTTATAGATGCAGACGTTGAAAACCGCCATTCATATTCTTAATCGAGTGCCAAGTAAGTCGGTGCCCAAAACACCGTATGAGTTGTGGACATGAACGGAACCCTCACTGAACTATTTTCGTGTGTGGGGTTGTCTAGCTGAGGCTAAAGTCTTTAACCCAAACATAGGGAAGCTAGACTCCAAGACAGTCAGTTGCCATTTCATTGGCTATCAGAAAAGTTAAAAGGTTATCGCTTCTATTGTCCTGACAGACAAACAAAGTTTGTAGAAACAAGACATGCTATGTTCTTGGAGGATGATATGATCAGGGGAGCATGGTAGCGCGAGAAATTAATTTTGAAGAGAAGCGGGTATGCGTGCCCACTCCGATGGTTTAGGAGCCATACTTCACGCTACCTGTTGTTGCTGTACCAATAGTGCAAGACACTATAGTAACAACACCTATTGTTAGTTCTCCTGTGGCAACAATGAATGAACATGAGGAACCTATCCTTCAAGATCCCGTAGAACCCGTTGTCACACATGAGGAGGAGAAACAATAGCCTCATATAGAACAAGCGTCATCTCACGAGGCTCTTAGAAGGTCTCAAAGAGTTAGGAGATCAGCCATTCCTGAAGACTACGAAGTTTATGAATGTGAGGAATTTCAAATTGAGGGTGATCCCACCTCATTTGAAGAAGCCATGAGAAGCGCTCACTCATCAAAGTGGCTTGAAGCCATGGAAGATGAAATGAAATCAATGAAAACCAACGGTGTTTGGGACTTAGAAACAATTCCTAAAGGAGCCAAGACAGTAGGCTGTAAATGGGTTTACAAAACCAAACATGACTCCAAAGGAAATATAGAAAGATTCAAAGCATGACTTGTAGCGAAAGGCTTTACGCAAAGAGAAGGTATAGATTATAATGAGACATTTTCTCCAGTCTCATGTAAGGATTCTTTTAGAATCATAATGGCGCTTGTAGCACATTACGATTTAGAATTACATCAGATGGATGTAAAGACGGCGTTCCTAAATGAGGATTTGGAGGAAAATATTTACATGGCACAACCAAAAGGTTTTGTTATGGAAGGTAAAGAACGTATGGGATGCCGCCTGAAGAAATCCATTTACGGATTAAAACAAGCTTCAAGACAGTGGTATTTGAAGTTTGATAGTACAATAAGAAAGTTTGGGTTTCAAGAAAATGTAGAGGACAATTGCGTTTATGCAAAGTTCAAGAAAGAGAAATACATTTTCCTAGTCTTGTATGTGGATGACATCTTGCTCGCTAGCAGTGATGTTAATCTACTACTAGAAACAAAGAAGTTCTTGTCCTCAAAGTTTGATATGAAGGATCTCGGTGAAGCTTCATTCGTCCTAGGAATAGAGATTCACCGAGATAGAGAAAAGAGGATTTTAGGATTATCACAAAAGGCATACTTAGAAAAAGTTCTAAAGAAATATAGTATGCAAAATTGTAAGTCTTTACCTACTCTCATAGTCAAGGGTGATAGATATGGGGAATTTCAATGTCCCAGGAACCAATATGAGATCGATCAAATAAAAGCGATTCCATATAGTTCAACTGTTGGAAGTTTACAGTATGCTCAAGTGTGTACTCGCTCTGACTTAGCATTTGTTACCGGGTTACTTGGCAGATATCAGAGTAATCCAGGAATAGAACACTAGAAATTAATAAAGAATGTTTTGTGTTACCTGCAAGAAACGAAGGGTCTCATGCAAACGTATAGAAGATCTGATTCTCTGCACATAGAGGGGTATACAGATTCTGATTATGCGGAAGATGACAGAAAGTCCACGTCAGGATACATATTCACTCTCATAGGAGGAGCTATATCGTGGAAAAGCTCAAAGCAAACCATCACTACATCGTCCACAATGTATGCCAAGTTTGTAGCATGTTATGAGGCCATAGGGCAAGTGAATTGGCTGAAGAAATTCATGTCTAGGTTGAAAGTGGTAGACGACATACATAAGCCACTCAAGTTATACTGCGATAATAATCCCGCAGTATGTTATGCTCACAATAATAAGTCAAGTGGTGCTGACAAACACATTGACATAAAATATTATGTTGTGAACGATAAAGTCTGGGATCATATAATTAGTCTTAAGCATATAAGAACAGAAAAGATGCTCGCGGATCCGCTTACAAAAGGCTTACCACTCAGCGTGTTTAGAGAACACTTAGCCGGCATGGGTTTAAGGGAAAGCCTAAGATTCCTAGACAATAAGGGCCTAGATGAGAATCTGTTTCAAAATAGAGAGGTGCATTATAGATGTTTAATCTAATGGCAACTGATCGTGACGATGAGACACACTTTATGCACCGATCTGTGATGGAATGGGAACAAGATAAAGTAAGTAAGTTAAGTTTAAGTCATAAGGTGAGATCAAGAGAGAGAATGTTAGATTGATCCCACCAATTGGGCCTTGATCCGCGCCCTGATCGGGAGCGCCTAACCCTAACTATGGTTGGTGGGCCCCCGTCGCATAGCGCCATAAAAAGGGAGGTGGTGGTTGGGGCACAAGGCACGAGAATCACCTGCGTCGCCAGACACCCCACCTACACCTCTAACCCTATGTCGATCTAAGTGAGGGGGCACTGCCAGTGACGGAAAGCACCGCCACCGGCCAATGCCGCCACTACATAGCCGCCTTTCACCGCCGCGCCTCCACCGAGTCTCCACCGAGCACCGTGATGGCTAGCTCATCTTCTACGAAGGCGGCCGATGGTTTGCCACCCGCATCCCTCTCTCTTTGTTTTGTTCGTATTAGATCACGTTCTAGAGTTTGCTATTCATTCAAATGTCAGCATATATGCTAGATCTATGGCTAATGATCCTATTATGCACCTAACATATCCAACCTAACCATCATATCTTCAACACACACATGTGTGCATACAATAAATGTGGAATGGTCGATGAGGCAATGCTTACTTTTAACAAAATGCGTCAGCAAGGATTGGTGCCAGATATAGTTAGCTATGGGACGATAATTGATGGTCTTTGTCAGATAGGACGGCTAGATGATGCAATGCTCCATTTCTATCAGATGATTGATGATGGATTGTCTCCTGATATCGTAATATATAGTACTCTGATTCATGTTTTTTCTATGCATGGAAAATGGGAGAAGGCTGAGGAACTATTTTATGAGATTATGGATAGAGGCATTCCTCCTAGCGTCACTGTCTTCACTACAATGATAGACAAGCTATTCAAAGAAGGAAAAGTTACGGAGGCCCAAAAACTCTTTGATTTGATGCCAAGTGCAGGAGTAAAACCTAATGTGGTTTCCTATAATACAATGGTTGAAAGGTCGTAATGGCTAGAGGGGGGGTGAATAGCCTATTAAAAATTTCTACAACAACACTTAGCAAACCAGTTAGACAAATATGAGGTGAAACGAGTGTTGCGCTAGCCTACTAAAAATGCAAGCCACCTACCATAATTCTAGTTTCTATAGTCTCTATCCACACAATGGCTATGTCACTACGCTAAGTTAGTGTGCTCTTAAAGGCTAACTAAAGAGTCGCACTAACCAAACTAACAAGCTCTCACGACTAGCTACACTAAAGAGCTTGACAACTAGTTTGCGCTAATGTAAAGAGAGAGCAAGATGGTTATACCGCTGAGTCGAGGAATGAACCAATCAATCACAAGAATGAATACCAATAAAGACCAATCACCGTGGAATCAAATGATGACACAATGATTTTTTACCGAGGTTCACTTGCTTGCCGGCAAGCTAGTCCTTGTTGTGGCGATTCACTCACTTGGAGGTTCACGCGCTAATTGGCATCACACGCCAAACCCTCATAGGGTGTCGCACAACCAACACAAGAGGATCACACAAGCCACGAGTAATTTACTAGAGTACCTTTTGGCTCTCCACCGGGGAAAGGTCAAGAACCCCTCACAATCACCACGATCGGAGCCAAAGATAATCACCAACCTCCGCTCGATGATCCTCGCTGCTCCAAGCCGTCTAGGTGGCGGCAACCACCAAGAGTAACAAACCAAACCCACAACGAAACACGAACACCAAGTGCCTCTAGATGCAAACACTCAAGCAATGACTTGGATTCACTCACAATCTCACAAAGATGATGAATCAATGATGGAAATGAGTGGGAGGGCTTTGGTTAAGCTCACAAGGTTGCTATATCAATGCAAAATGGCCAAGAGAGAGAGCTAGAGCCGGCCAAACGATATTTATAGACACCCCCAGACAATAGAGTCATTGGCTCAATTATTGGGCTGACTGTGGGACAACCGGACGCACAGGTCGTGTGTACCGGATGCGTCCGGTCGCTGGGTCCGGTCATAGCCTGATCGCCATGTGTCCTAGTCATTTGAAACAGGGATAAAGCTAGGAAAAAATTAGGAGGGGCTGAACAAAAGTGCTACTATGACCCCTCACCATAGACAAATATGATAGCCAGAAGTAGTCTTATATTAAAAACATTGGTTAACGATGAAATTCACAAAATACATCATGAAAAATAAAGGAAGCAGTTCATTCATACCGAAAGGCCAAATTATGAAACTAATAGACGGCGCTTGACGTTGACACACATTATTCATCCGAAGTAGCAATCTACACAAATAGACATAATTGATTAGTCAAACATATATGGACCTCCAAATTATGAATTTAGAAGAGAATAGAGCATACCACTAATTTTTTAGGCAAATAACATGCGACGCTTTTTTATCTCTTGAAACCGCTTTTTTGATCTTTTCATTATCAATCTTTCTAAATATCTCCTTCTCATTATAGCATATCATCAAGTCATTGAGCCAGTCATCACCCATTTTACTACACAAATATGTCTTTATAATAGACATGGCTGAAAATATCCTTTCAACTAAAGCCGTTGCCACCGTAATATCAAGGTTAGCTCAATGAGACGATAAACCAATTTATAAGATTCGTGCATTTTAGTCTTCACCATAATTTTAGCAACTTTTCCAAGTTCAGTGCATCCAAGAAATTCTGGAGTTCTTCTAGCATGGTTCATAAACTGTCTAAGTTGATTTGGCAAAACAGCAAGTTCACTAATATCAAAATCCTCAGCATAAATTTCAGCAAGCCTCACAAGTTTGTCCATATCAAAATTAGAGAAGGAGTTCCTTGGGTTAAAAGCAGCCATACATACTAATAACTCTAAACTAATTTCACTGAACCAATGATTCAACTCAGTCAAGATGGCATCAATGGCGACAAGAAAAATCTCAACATGATAGTAATGCATGTTTGTTACCTTTTGCTTTCTTCGTCTAGATGTCCCTCTAACATTTATTTCCTTACCCATATCTGGCACTTCAATCTCATTCTTCTCACAGAATGTTTTCACTTTTTTGAATAATGGCTCCCATCCATTTTCCCTCATATCCTGCAAGCTATCTTTCACATCCGTGATCAAATGCATTGCTTCAACTATGTCTTGATCCTTCCTTTGCAAAGCATGTGACAAAATATCTGTCATGCTTAACAATTATATCATCAAATGCAGGATGACCACAAAATCAAAGCTCTCCATTTTTTCAATTAAACCTAAAGCTCCACCATTACATGTTGGTTTAATAGAATCTTTCTTCACTATCTCAAGGACATCTATGATAGCCTCCCACATGACCAAAATGCGAAGCAAAGTTTTAAGATGTGAACCCCATCTAGTATCTCCAGGCCTAGCTAGGCTGCTTTCTTAATTTAAATCTCTTCCAGTCATAATCACACCATTCTCAATCTTTTCTAGCAACACATCATGATGCTTTGTAAGCAAGGCATCTTTTCTCATGCAACTTGCACCCACATTGTTGATTATTAAAGAAATATAGTTAAAGAAATCTGCAATGTCTGCACTAGAAGTCAAAACGGTAACAACCACTAGTTGCAATTGATGGGCAAAACAATGCACATAGAAAGCATAAGGATTTTCATCACGAATCAATTTTTGCACCCCATTAAATTCACCTCTCATATTAGAAGCTCCATCATACCCTTGCCCACGGAGCATAGAGATAGACAAATTGTGACTTGAAAGCATACTAACCAAAGTTTCTTTCAATGCAATAGTTGTACAACTCTGAACATGCTGAAGTCTAAGAAATCTCTCCACCACTTTTCCTTCATCATTGACAAACCTGCACGCCACATTTGTTTATGTGTTAGTATAATTATAGAAATAATTATAAAAAATCTATGCACAAAATTGCAATTGTAAAGTACTAACCTTAGAATCACTGCCATTTGCTCTTTTATTGATACATCTCGAGACTCATCAATAAGCACCGAGAATTTTCTACCTCAAATCTCATTCATAATGACAGCTGTGATTTCCTCTGCACAAGCTTTTGCAAGGTCCTTTTGTATATCAGGAGATAACATTTGGCAATTTTTAGAACCTTTGTCATATGGGTCCTTCAGAATCTCAATCTTATCTTTATACCAATCAACCATCTCTCTGAATGTACCCTTGTTGAGGGAAGTAGAACTCTCATCATCTCCACGAAAAGGTTGCCCTTGTGATATGAGAAATCTTGCAACATCTAAAGAAGATGTCAAACGAATCTCATATCGTTTTTCTTCCTCCGTGCTTACCTCAACTAATTTTCGACCCACACTTGTCCTTTGGTTCATAAAGTCATCACACTTCAGCCTAGCCTCTACATGAGTCATGCAAGCACTGTGCTTACTCAAAGTATCCTTAGCTTTTTTCCAATTCACATAACTTTGATGTGCAAAGCCAGAACTCCCAAATTTTTCAGGCTTTCCCGAATTAAAGAAGAGATAACAATATAAGCAAAAAAAACTGCATCCTTAGACTCACTATATTCTAGCCAATCAAATTCATCAAATCAAGTCTTTTGAAATGATCTCCATTGACCACCAATTCATTTACTAGGAAATTGAAATTCACAAGGTTGGGTTGGACCACTCAAAGCATATGCTCTCTTTACTTGGTCTCTAATTTCAGGTTCATAATCATCAATTGGTTTGTGATTTTCAGGGTCTGCAATCATGTTCGATTGACTAAACTCTGCTCTAGGTTTCTTTGGTTGAGTTGTGGTCTCATTAGTTGATGGACCACTACCACTAGAACTTGAAAAGTAATTGCGCAGAGTTCTTTTCGACGACATATTGAAAATTTAAAATTTAAAATCCATCAAGAATCAAACATTCCATCGTTCAATCACAGTCACAGACTTAATTTCATAATTAAAAAATCACCTACTCCGACGCTGCTCGGCTGCTCCTCGCCTGGCATTGCTCCCCACCATGGCGCTGATGTCATCTTGTGCCGCTGGCACCTACTGACTTTGCTCCACGGCCGCCCGAATGCCAGTTCTTGCCGCCGCCACCCCACACCCTCGGCCCTCATTGCGGCGTGCTTGGGCTGGCGCGTCGGGGCGTCTTTGGAGCCGCCGAGGAGCCGCGTAGAAGCAGGCCGCCGCCTCCGGGTCTCGGGAGTCGACGATTCAGGACTCAGGGCCTCGGGCCGTGCCGCGTCAAGCCGTGTCATGCATCCTCCGACACCATGACCTACGCCTGCTCGGATCTGAAGCGTGGGGCGACAGCGTCAGTCCTGGGGCGACAGAGCGGTCTTGAGGGAGGCGCAGGTTGTTGGGGGCGGCGGCGCTGTCCGCAGGGAGGCACGGGTTCTAGGGTGGCGGCGTCGGTCTGTGGGGAGGCGCTAGGGTGGTGGCGTTGGTCCGTGGGTTTCCTTTCATTTTCATCAATTTGGCTTGGGCTTCTAAGTTCTAATCAGCTGAGCTATTTCCCCTTTCGGCCCAACAAAGAATAGAGGTTTTTTTATCTTCTCTTAACCTTAACCCCTCCTACCTAATATATATATATGCATAAAATTTTAAGGGAGGGCTTAGGGGGGGGGCTCCACGTGTCCGGGATCGGTAGGGGGGCTCGAGCCCCTCCAGCCCCATCGTTGCCTCCGTCGCTGGTTTGAAACTATCCGTTGGCGCGCAATGGTTCACTCGCGCGCGCTCACTGGCCATCAACCGGACGCTCCTGTTCAATTGACCGGACGCACCACGTGTCGGAGTTCGGTCGTTTCCAGAGAGCTCCTAGAGAGGTAAAATTGCGACCGGACGTGTCCGGTAACGCCCGATCGTACTCGTCCAGCGTCCGGTCACTCACCCTCTTCTCTGCGCACCGCCATGTCAGCAGGACCGGACGCTGAACAGTGTTCAGCCAGAGTCCGGTCACTTTTCTTCTCCGAGTCCGGTCATAGGGCAAATCGAGCCCGAGAGCACCACATTCTTTTTATAATTGACCGAACGCTGGAACCCTGAGTCCGGTCACTTCGAACTCAGCGTCCAGTCAGTGTTTGACAGCTGAAAAACACCTTCTTCAATTCACCAACTTCTCCACCCTTGCTCAAATATGCCAACCACCAAGTGTATCACCTTGTTCACATGTGTTAGCATATTTTTACAAACATTTTCAAAGGTGTTAGCTTTCCACTAGATCCTAAATGCATATGCAATGAGTTAGAACATCTAGTGGCACTTTGATAACTGCATTTCGATACGAGTTTCACCTCTCTTAATAGTACGGCTATCGATTATAAATGTGATCACACTCACTAAGTGTCTCGATCACCAAAATGAAAAAGCTCCTATCAAGTTTTACCTTTACCTTGAGCTTTTTGTTTCTCTCTTTCTTTTTTTCCAAGTCCAAGCATTTGATCATCACCATGCCATCACCATCATCATGATCTTCACCATTGCTTCATCACTTGGAGTAGTGCTACCTATTTCATAATCACCTTGATAAACTAGGTTAGCACTTAGAATTTCATCAATTCACCAAAACCAAACTAGAGCTTTCAATGGTTTCATGGATATTTCTTGGCCGGTAAACTGGACAAAGTGATGAAGCTCCTTGATGATATGCTCTCGATTGGTCTGAAACCTGATGTTGTTATCTTTAATACTTTACTTGATGGCATGCTCTCTATTGGCTTGAAACCTGATGTTGCTACCTGTAAGACTTTGATTGATAGCTACTGTGAGGACGGCCGGATAGAGGATGTATTAACTCTGTTCAGAGAAATGTTGAGCAAGGCAGCTAAGACTGACACTGTCACGGAAAATATAATTTCGTGAGTGTTATTTTAGATTGGAAGGACTGCCAACTCAGCCTGAAGATGAGGAAAAGAGGAAAACAGGTTCTTAATCTTAACTAGGACGCATTATGGTTTCTTATATACCCACTAGTATGTATCTATAGGTCTTGTCTTAGTAAATTTTAGTGTTTGGTTGTTTCAAGCTTGATATTTTGTGAAGTACATGTATGAGGGGATTCCTTGCAATAAGGGTCTATCATCTGTATCCTTAGCCTTTATTTTTGTTAGAACAGTAGCCTTCATTTGTTTGCTGAAGAAACTGTTTTTTCGTCTTTGTACTCTTGAGGAGTTGAAGTTCCTTAGTCTTATGATGAAGTAAGCTGATTTTAAAACATGTGTATACCAAGTGTACGCCTCTTGTCACTGTTTCAATGTGCGTTAGAAGTTGTTACACCAGCAGGAGTCAGTTCATACATTTGAGAAAGCATGTCTACAAGGATGCTTACAGCACAAGTTATTATTAATTCAATTTGAGCAGTACCATTATAATTTTGCAAAGTTAGAGACATGCCATTGGTATCTCACTGACATGTGGGGCTCACACGAGACAATGACATGTGGGACAGGATGGCATATCTCCAATTTAGTAAAATTATAATGGCAGTCTTCAAATTTTCAAAATCAAATTCAACAGGTTCCAAGAGCTAGTTAAGGGCTTAAGGCAAGACAACTGAAGCATACTAACTGCCACAACAATACAACATGATGACATGACTTTGATGAGCAGAGTTGCGTGCGCAAATTTTAATGAAAAACATCCTTCCACTATTGAATTGCCATCGTTTAGTTTGTCATGGCTCTCAGGCTAATACTGATCGCAACTTGTTGTATGAACAGCTTGAATTGGAAGGGAAGTTATTGGAGGTATGAAATATTTGGTTCCATTTTTTGAGTTATTCATAAGAAACTTGCATTGTGAATTATATTTAATGAGTAGCAGGCTCTGTTAAACCATTGTAGACACCGACGCCTGTGTATTGCTTTTGTTTAGCTCAAAATTGTTATTGTATTAAAGTGACAGGCATGTGCTCCTAATTTGAGTGCCATTTTCAGGAGGTGACTTGGATTTTGCTTTTGAAAGTATTTCAGCCTTCTCAGACAATGGGGAGAATCAGGGGTATATTTTCCTGCTGGAAAGTGTCAAAATCATCAGGTAGGCCGTCTCATTGCTTACAGGAACTGACGAGCTAGTATTCTGTCCCCTGCTTTTATTAGAGCTGCACTTACCTTGCAACCCTTGCAAAAATAGCAGATAACATTTCCCCTTTTTTTAATAATATAGGAATTTGTTCAGTTGTTCTACTCTGGTTTGGTCACTTTCTTTTTTAATGATCTACCCTGACTTGTTGCTTAAGATTCTAAGATTCTAACTAAGGCATCATTTGAGTATTTGACTATTGCGAGTCTGTCTCCTAAAAAAAAAGTTCTCAAACATTACGAGTCTGACCTGACTTGGATAACAGACAGTTTATTGGATCATACAGTGTAATGCAACAAGGTTCGCTCAATGTTAGAGCGGATGCTTATCCTGTTATAATAGTTTGTTTTGATCTCTCCATTTATGGATGATTTTCTTTAGTTTTACGACTCAAAACTTGCTCTTAGAGCTGAAGCTTCTGATTTGGAAAAGCAGCTTGCTTCTCTGGAGTGGAAGTTTGATGCACCTACAGCACAAAGCTACCACCATTACCCAGGGAAAGAAGCCCCACTAATCTGCTCATACTAGAGCTAATGGACAGCTTACTGGCTTAGATGAGAAATTTGCTAAGAGAAGTTTGGAGGTAAGGTACCTTGCCTTTGTCCAAAACAGATAGACTATACTACTACACTGCTGTTCTTTATTTTACTGGGATCTATGTTCCATTTTAGTATACACCATGGTACTTATATCTGGTTCAGAACCTGTTATCCATTGTAGTCTTTGGTGATTAACCATGTAGCCTGGCTAGGTCATTAGCTAGTATTTAGCACTTTTTCTGAGGGACACTGTTACTATTTTACAAAAGAAAAGACTATCTTGATAGGTGCTGCCTTCTGGCAAATAACATTACTGTACTTCTTCGTCCACAGGTTATTCGTCCATTTTGTGTTATTTTCTTTTGATGTTGTTTTATGTCAATCGGTAACTAGTACTAGTTGAACTGAAGTTTATGCTTCTTTCTGACAGGAATTCATCCTAACACTTAACAAGAGTATACTTTGCTCTCTATGAATGCAGTTATTGGAAAGCTTCCTGCAACCACCTAGGAGTTGTGTTACAGAAGCTGGTGTTCATGTTCCCCTTAACATGTAAAAATGCAAATAATTTTATCTGGTTGCATTTGCCTACATGGAGAGACATTGTCACCTGATGCTTCCATTTTGACTTGTATTTACATGCAAGTGGAATTATTGTCTAGCGCACAGCTTACCATATATAACTACATAATGTCTAGTTGTTTGATTTTCTTGTTGATCTTTTGAAACCATAGCATCTTGTTACTGTTCTTATGATGAAGTCATCTGATTTTAAGACATGTGTAGACTAAAGTGTCTGCTTCTTGCTACTGTTCAATGTGATACTTTTGTTCAAAGCTTACGACAGCAGGGGTCAGTCAGTTCATCCATTTGGGAAAGCAAGTCTACAATGCAGCTTACAACACGAGTTATTTTTGAGTAAAAGTGATCTTGCTCTAGGTTCCTGGAACTAATCAAAGCAACCCAGTGAAAGCATATCAACGAGCAAGTAAAGATGAACGGAAGAAATGGTTACAGATAACTCAAGGACAGCAGAAAGCCACTGTCAAGAAGGTTAACAAGCAAAGTTAGGCATGATGCTATCATGCACTCTTGGTTATCCAGTCCTTGTTTCCTAATGATGCTGTGGTAGTGCGGTTTGACATTTCATTCAGTTGTAAATTTGAAGCACCTTGTTTGCTTCTGATTTTATGGCTCCTTGATTTAAGTCAATATAATCCACGTGCATTGCCATAGTGGCATGGAAACTTTTTTCTCCGGTGATGTTTGGAAACTGGAATCTTTTTTTCTCCGGTGATGTTTGGAAACTGGAATTGTAAGTCTCTGGTGGATTGTACTAGTCAGTAGTCAAGATATGGCTAGAGTTTTTTTTTGCAAGCAATGTACCAAACCACGCAAGCACCTCTTCAAAATTGAGAACTTTATTTCTTTTTTGCCTGAACTGAAGATGCATTTTCTTTTCTTTTTCTGTTTTTTTTTTAAAGCTAAACATCTATTGA